CAGCTTTAGACTTTTGAAACAAAAATAATTATTTACACATTTTTTTCACCAGTTAAATAACATAAAATATGTATAAAAGCAATATGCTAGAAAGACTTTTAATTTAATAATATGTTCAATGTGAGCTCTAACTGACCGTCATTCGATCCGAAGCTGAGAATGGTATTTCGTTAAAAAGGACATTAATCAAACAAATATAATATTATATTATATTGTGTTGTTGGTAAGAAAATTCAAGCTGAGATATCTTTTGAAAACATCTCCGCGCTGGCTTTATGTTATTTATATTTATATTATATTTTACCGTCGAATACATTTGATGAATTAACGTTAGAAAATTAGGACCATTGTTTTCCAAGTATCCTTAAATATTCTATTATCTCAATTATTTTTTTTTTTTTTATAGGGTCAAATGCATCGCAGTAACGCAACCGTGACATAAATGTACCATCATTATATTATATTATATTATATTATGTTTATCTCTGTGGCGAGCACAGCCTTGTTTTCTTTCCAATGTCATGTATAGGCCGTTTTCGCTTCTCTTATCTTGTCCGTTTTTGTGTCTGCAATCACATTAATAAAGTATATATATATATTATACAGGGTTATCCAACTAACGTCAGACATTCATTTTCAATTTTTAGGTACATATTTTTCAATATTTTTACAATTTTTATCACCAACCCTTATTTAAGATAATCCTTACAGAGTCATATTTAAAATTTTTTTTTGTCTACAAATTTATGCAATTAAAAACATATGTTGCCATTTGAAAGAAAAACAAAAATCCCCTTTTTTTGACAAGGATTGGTGATGAAAATGTTCAAAATATTAAAATATGTAGTAAAATATATACCTAAAAGTTTATGGAAAAAAATAATTCTTAAAATATTCATATTTTCAGAGAAAATAATTAGTGTAAGACACTCTAACGTTAGCTGGATCACCCTGTATACATATATAACTAAATTTAACGCGTTATAATATAGTGATATATTTTTATAATATTGTACACACTTTATATATTATGGGAAAATATAGTGCCCAAATTGTATTTTTATTAGACTGTTCCCCGAGGTTACACAGCCCACAGCTCTTCTAATATAATTCACTACCGGCCTTATCGTACACTCGTGTGGTGTATATTGTAATATATTACATAAATTTATTGTAATATATTTTATATACATTATCCGGTTAACGGGTGGAATTTATCTCTCCTTGGCCTTGGCATTAAACCACCGAAAAACAGGACCGCATTTGGCCGCTGTAAATCACTCGCCGGCTATTTTGAATCCCTTAAAAAAGCACACAAAAAATACACATACATACAGGCTAACGGTAAAATAAAAAAAACATTACAATACAACAATGCTTTCGCTTTCCATTCGGTCGACAACAGTTCTACATTGTGCGACAAAGGTATTTTTTTTGTTCATAAAAAAAGCCAAAACGCATAAATTCCCAATGTAAACGGCTTTTGAAAAACACGGATTCAATGTACCACTTGAATTATTATTCTTATTGTATTGTGTAATAGGTTTTTTTTAACAACTAAAAAATAACGGAACAAACAGTATCGTTTAACTGAATATAACTTTTCGGTAAAGTTTTGTTGCAAAGTGAATTTTGTCCAGTTAAAAATGATAATACTTCCGTCTTATTTGGATAAACGCTATTTAAATATTATTATCTTTATAATATATAATCCGTAATTGTTTAATGATAATTTGTTAATATTTAGTCGTTTTCATTGAATTAAATTAAACGTTAACGTTAGGGCTATACCTATTACTCTACAGTAAGATAATAAGAACAATTCTTAGCTTTATTATATATATTCTTTTACAAACGTAGGTATTTTTTTCGTTATTATTCTATTGACCTTTTATTACACTATAACCAAGAATGAGCAATGAGAATGTCTTGAAAATCATATTATTATGCATTGAATAACACTAATCTAATTTGTTATGTCAGACGTTTGTGACCTTTGTAGTTTGTATGTAGAATTTTTAACTCTATTAGATTTGAACCGAACAAGAATAGTTGATTTTATCAAATCCACAAACCTTTCCAAGATTTGTATTAGAATTAATATTATGTTATAAGATTTATATTATTTATATCTCAGTATTATATGCCACAATGCGAGAAACAGTTATTGTAATAATAATTATTACTCTCTGCCATAATAATCGGGTCGAGCAATGAAACGATTAAACTTTCTAGTTACACTTAATGTTTTATATTATTTTATTGCACACTTAAATCCCATTATATTTTTCCTGCGAATTCACTCATAAAACAAAATATTATATACACCGAAACTTTTTGGCTGTGCCACACAAAATTACCGAACGCTTAACACAGTGTAAATCCCATTGTATTTGGACGACAATAGCAATAAATAATAATTGTAATAAACAAAACATCAATTAGACGGAAACTTTTAGTGCGTTCGCCATTGTTTCAAATGCATATAAATTTATATAACGTTTATGAACAACATAAAACAACAGCTATTGGGGGGCTAAACCGACATATCAGTCTAGTGTCTACACAGTGCATAATATTATATACATTGTGGGTCGAATCAATGGTAATAATGTTTGCCCAAATTTAAAATTTGGAACTCACCAATAATAAAATACATTACATATAAGCACGGGTTTTACTTGAAAATAAATTATAAGCTACATTTGAACATTGTTTTATATCTTATTACTCACAGTTGTTCTATTCATTGTCTTTGGAAATTTCTGGCTTTTGGATTCGTAGGATTATGACATTGTTTTGTTGTTAATTAACATCAAACACCGTGTAAATTACTGAGAAAAAATGGCAAACAAATTAGCACGGTTTGTATAAGCCAAACACCGTGGCTGTAATTAAACAGGAGGTCGATGTAGTCGGTAGTGGTTGTTTTTTTTTTGTATCTGAGATAAAAATTGAAGAAAACCAAGATTTAGCAGTTATCATGGAAAAGAATTACACTAATGTTATTATCATAATATTTGTATAGGTTAATTATTTTTTTTAGCTGTGATAAAACGTTATGGGACTTTTTTTTGTTTGTTTATTTGTTTTGCTTTCGCTCTAAAACAAGTAGAGCCAATAAAGTTTATGGACGGTAGGACGATATTTTTTTTTGTGAAGGATTTCATTTTTTACGATTGGAAATTATTATTGTTATTATTGTAACAGCCACGTCGGGCAGCTACTACTCTAATGGCCTAAAGCTAAAAAAACGAATTCTCGCCATTATAATGATATTACAAACGGCGTCGAAGAAAATCGGTAAACTTAACGAGTCGGCCCGACGTCGTAAACGACGCTGTAACTCTGAATACGAAAAAGGCAAGTAGTTAAAATTGATCGTTTCAATAAAAAACAAAATCGTTATTGTCGTCTAATAAAAGTTAATCGCCCGAAAAATAAAGACCCTAAAGCCGGCAGGAGGACAGTAACGCCCAAGCACACGCGGTCATTCGTACTTAGAATGGACCCGAAATACAATAACGTTAAATTATACAGGTACCGGCTGTGGGCGCTGAATTAAAAATATTAGACTGCATAATCGCATATTAAGCCAAAAAAAAAAAAAAAATAGAAAAGGTGTTTTCAAAACAACTTTGCTAGTCTGTTCGACCGAATAGTTGGAAAAAAAGCTTTGACACAGACGCCATTGAGTTAAGCCTAAAATCTAAGCAAAATAGTCAAAAACGTGGTTCGCCCACTAGTCTTTGTTTGGTGAACTATTATGTTGCACCTCACAAATAGTATTCAAATAAATAAAAATAAAAAACAAATACTCCTATTTTATTTGAAAATAAAAGGATATAAGGATATATTAAGGTATACTAGGGTATATTAGGATATATAAGGATATAAGGATGTATAAGGATATAGAAGAATATATTAGGATATATAAGGATACATTTTCGTTTTTTTGTAACGCTGTCGATTTTTCCGGTTGTGTGCCAAAGTAAAGACATAAAAAATGTCAAAAACCAGTTTGGCACAAATGAAGTCCAAATCTTCATTCTATAATCGTTTTTATGTTTAAAACTACGGAGAAGTCTGAATTAGTCAGCCAAAGTCCAAACTTACTTCAGGTAGTATGAGGTCAAAATAGGAGATAGGTGAGGTCTGTTTTTAAGGAGTTTTGTATAGGCCATATTTAAGCATAAAAAAAGAGGTTTTAATAAATTTCGACCATGTCAGTTTCAAAGGAATTATTTTTAACTTAAATGCTTTTTTTCTTCGAGTAAAAGCCAGACGAGTGTTCAACTACTCAAGACGGTCCAATTTCAAGTCTGTAAAAAGATTCGAGCTTTACTTTACTATGTTATGTGGAAAGCCGTTTTTGTATTTTAAAATTTTCAGTTTCTTGTAGTCAAAAACCTTTTCCCCACACAACCTAGTAAAACTGGCCAAGAACTCAAGAAGAGTATATTATCTTTCTTCTTCTTCCCGTGTGGTTCCTTCGCCTTCAAGACCATACCGTCCAGCACATTTGCCTGGTTTTACTTTTTTCCGCCTGTTCTTCATTTGCCCTGTCTTCCCCCATCTTAATCTTAGGCGTCCCAGTGGTGTTTTTTCCTTGTGGAGCATTTTCTAACACTGTAATCCCCACTTAGAGTGCAGTACCTGTTTGCTTTATTTGTTGTAAATGCATTTAATAATTGCACATATTATTCGGCCGGAAACGTTACAGATACAGATAAAGCATAGTCTAAGGTCGTCTCACCGGTGGATATAGGGCACGACCTAGAAAAACCGGCCGGCTCTGTTATCAGTGGATTCGAGGCAACGCCAAAATATAATACACACTGTTATCAGCTGCTGCTATTATAGAGGAAGCTTCGATGACTTTGACCTTGTCTAGTCGTGTTGGTCAAAAGAATACACAAGCACTTAATCCAATGTCGGAAATCGCAGCGTCAATATAAATATACCGGCCGGGTGTCTGTTTGTGATCAGTGACAATCCGACACAGTCATCGTCGACAAGTAATACAATTTAATACATATTGCTGCGTTGTTCGTTTTTGTATATTTCATTTTAAAAAAAACTCCCTTCCCCCCCCCCAAAAAAAAACATGTGGCGGATAATTTATTGTGCGGTAGTTCTGGCTTCGGCGGTAGGACCGTCCGTCCAACGTGTGCCGGTGAGACATAAAAATACATCTCTGTTTTTTTTATCCATAATTTTTATTTTTTACACTGCGTTTAAGGTGATGGTCTCGTTGAACACGGAAGGCAAACCCGGCGAAATGAGCGAATCGTCGTTCATCGACTACGTCAACTGGTGGCAGAACATCATAGGCATCGTCAGCAACACCGAGGATACCTCGCCTGAACCACCCACCGAACCCATCGACCAGAGCACTTGTCCGGCTTGCAGTAAGTCACACAAGTCTAAGTCTAAAAATCATTGAAAATATTACTTATTTACCTTTGGGACTTTATCGTTACTTTCACAACATCTTTGTACGTCAATACGTTTAAATTTACATTCTATTTAACCCTTTCAGTGTCTACTTAATTTACAAAAATTTGCTATTCTAGTTGGAGTATTCGCAAATTGTGTAAATACATTATTTACCCCTCTCAAGTTTAAATAATTTTTTTTAACATAGTTTTCGATTTTTTGGGGGTCTGAAAAACTAATTTTTAAAATATAAAATCGCAATGTTGCCTTTGTTGGCGTTGAGGGTAACGGAAAGCGCTATTTATTAAGGGACGACCGATTTTAAGGTGAAAAATATTAAAAGTTTGTCTAGTTATAATACATTTAAAGTCACATTTCCCAGAGTTATGGCGAACTTGGTCGAAATCACACTTCAGGAAGTGACTTTGCGTTTTAGTAAAAAATGTACCCTTTCCGTTCCCCTTAAGGCGTTTTTTTTTTAACGGTAATGATAATAATTTGTAGTCATAATTATTCAGCTATGATCTCTCTGTTCCTATTGTGTTAGCTATTTAGGTAAACGACCTCGTTTTGCATACACATTAATATTATTACAAAAAGCGATTGTCACTATAATCCAGTCTTTGACAATGCAGTTTTTTTTTTATATCAGATAAAATTTGTTTTTTTTTTCAATGAATTTTTTATAACACAAATTTTGTCACCGAAATTCAGCGACTCGTTCTGAAACATAAATCGGTTGTCTATTGTTTTTTTAGCATGCGGAGCTCCGGGCAAGAAAAACCGAATCGTCGGAGGCGCACCCACTTACAGACATCAATATCCTTGGATGGTCATGCTCACATACAAGGGCAAGTTCTACTGCGGAGGCACCCTGATCAATCACAAATATGTCATGACCGCCGCCCACTGCGTTCACGGGTAACAGACCCTTTTATAATATACATATAACAGGAAAAACGAAAGACCTTTTCGGCTTGGCTTGGTTTCTTTTGATGTAGAAAAAGATAAAATTGTCATTTCGACGAACGGCTCCATCCGGCTTTGTAAACAAAGAAAATATGGAAATGTTTTCTCGATCGACTTTTGTATATATTTTTTTTTATAAATAATAATTATTATTTTAGTTTTGTTTGCAATCCCGGTTCCCGGTAAGAAACCTTTTGAAAAACATATTAATATTGTATTTACATTGCCCGTCGACGTCATTTCCACAAACCGTTTGAAAACATTTGCCCGTGGGCAAAATTGTCGGGGGAACTTGTAACATTTTTTTTTATTATTATTATTTATGTTTTTTTTTTATAATACACAGGTTCGAAGCCAAGAACATCGGTGCTCGCATACTGGAGCACGACCGCAGCCAGAGCGACGAGAAACATATTGATTTTCGCGTTAAGAAAGTGATCAAACACAAAGGGTACAGCACCACTTCTTACAACAACGACATCGCCTTGCTGCGACTCGAAACCGACGGCATAGAGTTGGGACCCAACACGGGCGTGCACCCCGTTTGTTTGCCAGCAGAAGGTAGTAGGGGTTGTTAACAAAGGGGTTGTCGCTTTGGGGCAAACGCATCACGGTCGGTTTTGGTTTTTTTTTTTGTCCCCCCCAGGAAAGAGCTTCGCCGGTTACGAGGGCATAATCACCGGATGGGGAGCCAAAAAACAAGGCGGTTCGTCGGCGCAGGTGTTGCAAGAAGTGTACGTGCCGATCATGTCCAACGAGGACTGCAGGAAAACGGAATACGACGAGAAGAGGATCACGGCCAACATGATCTGCGCCGGATATCCGGAGGGCAAAAAAGACTCGTGCCAGGTAAGGGGGACACGACGTTAGGTGGGCGGTACAACTATATAAGGATATATTAGGATGTAGAATGATTTAGAAGGATATAGAAGGATATATAAGGATATAAGGATATAGAAGGATATATAAGGATATAAACGGATACATAAGGATATATATGGATAACAGGATATACATAAGGATACATTTTCGTTAGGTATTTTTGGTAACGCTGTCGATTTTTTCGGTCGTGTGCCAAAGTAAAGACATCAAAAATGTCAAAACCCAGTTTGGCACGAATAAAGTGCAAATCTTCAGTGAATTTTCCAAATTGTCGTTCTGCGTTTAAGTATTTTTTTTTTTATGTTTAAAACTACGGAGAAGTCTGAATTAGTCAGCTAAAAAGTCCAAACTTACTTCAGGTAGTATGAGGTCAAAGTAGGAGATAGGTTAGGTCTGTTTTTTAAGGAGTTTTGTATAGGCCATATTTAAGCAAAAAAAAAGATGTTTTAATACATTTCGACCGTGTCAGTTTCGAGGTGTTATTTTTAACTTGAATGCTTTTTTTCTTCGAGTAAAAGCCAGACGAGTGTTCGACTACTCAAGACGGTCCAATGTCAAGTCTGTAAAAAGATTCGAGCTTTACTTTACTATGTTATGTGGAAAGCCGTTTTTGTATTTTAAAATGTTCAGTTTCTTGTAGTCAAAAACCTTTTCCCCACACAACCTAGTAAAACTGGCCAAGAACTCAAGTAGAGTATATTATCTTTCTTTTTCTTCCCGTTTGGTTCCTTCGCCTTCAAGACCATACCGTCCAGGAGATTTGCTTGGTTTTACTTTTTCCTCCTGTTCTCTTTTGCCCTGTCTTCCCCCATCTTAATCTTGGGCGGTACAATTATAACTTAAAAGTTGTCAGGGCTAAATTTTCCTTGAAGCTGATTCTGAATTTCTTTGATTCTGATTATTTTTTCCAGGGTGACAGCGGCGGTCCCATGCACGTTGCCAACAATTCGGCGTACCACATTGTGGGTAAGTAGTGACGTATGATGTAAGTTTGCACACAGAAATTCTCATTTGTCAATTATACGGTCTCGATTGCAGGTGTCGTGTCTTGGGGAGAAGGATGCGCCCAGGCCAACCGGCCTGGGGTTTATTCCAGAGTGAACAGATACTTGAACTGGATTCACAACAACACGGTGGACGCTTGTCCTTGCAACAACGTGTACGCACATGGAGGAGAAGAGGCAGAGCAAGAAAACTGACTCGACACATTCGACCGGCACACCGAAGAAATGGATCTCAAAATTCGACGATTGAACGATTAAATTATTTTTTATTTATACCGTATTGTACGTTATTTAATGCTTTGTTAAATTTTATTCAACTATATATTTTTGTAAGATCGATCAATATATTATTATGTTATTGTAGTTTACTAGTTTATTTGATTTCTTGTCAGTTTTCCAAAGAGCTGAATTACCTAAAACTTACTGGGAATAATTAATAAAGAAATGACTACAAACTGTGATAGAGGCAAAAGATAAGTATAGTTTTAAAAAAATGTTTCAAATTATATTCCGTATAATAGTATGATAAAAAGTATTTAATATCCGTTTAAATCTAGACAAAGCGACAAAAGTGATTATATTAGTGAGTAGAACAGTTTATTATTAAACACATTAAATTAATTAAAAACTATTAGTGCGACATAAAATTAGGATATAAGTATGTAATATAGAAATATCATTTTAACAAAATAACAATGGTACTATATAACTTTAGAAAAGTTATACCATTGATTCAATCAACTTCTTTCTCATCGAGGTTGTAGGTTGTAGGTTAGAGTAGGTAGAGCTGTATCGGTTTGTTCTCTTATCTGCTCCCATTTGCAACCGATCCTTTTGTATGTTTTCTCTGTAATTCCATTCCACAGTGTACAAGAACCTTCAATAGAGTCAATTTTAATACTTCTTGTGTATTTTTTTGGAAATCTTGTACTCGTGTAGACTCCCAACAAACGACAAGCCCGCAACAGAGCGCCATGGTCCAGTATATCCTGCACGGGTTCATCTGAAAAATGCCACGTTGTATGTACTACAAGAAAGTATGAGTCGGTGTATTAATATTTACCTAAATCGCGTTGGATTATAGTTCTTATAATCGGTCTAATACGTTTTCTCCTGTCTTGTGCGAGTTCTTCCAAACTAAAGAGTCCAAAATCTACGAAAATAATAATCAAACGACCGCGTTGAGAAGAAATATTAAAAAATAAAAAACACTAGTTGCATTGACTTGTTCTATTAACAGTCATTATTGTGGAAACACCACGAATGTACATTCATTCTACAGTTGAAATCCCAAAGAACTTATTACACATTTGACATTGTCATTTTGTGTAGTCAACTTAACAAAACCAACGTTCAAAATATTATCACCATCAATGGGGTGTCTAAGTGTTACTCTCTCTCTCTCCTCGAGATAAAGTTTATTTTATAAAAATTATTATTGTGTTTGACATATAACGTTAAGCAAATGTCAACTGTAAAACAAGCAAGGATATTTACGACTATCGAAAAATCCCCATTACCTAGTTTATCAACATGATATGGAAATCTCATTTCTGTAACAAATACATCAAATCATTATGCAGCTCATAAAGCCAGGCCGGGTGTAAGAGATGATGGGGATATATTCGATAATAATGGTGATAGAACTAGTGAACCAAGCTAATAATCCAAGAAAAATTATTGAAATTAAAAATATTACCTTGAAGCTTATACGAAAATTAATTGACATGGTCGAAATTTGTTAAAATCAAATTTTTATAATATTGCCTATACAAAACTCCTTAAAAACAGACAGCATGCAATCCCCTTGGTAATACATATATAACCGGTGTAGATTCAATAACATAAAGATAGAATTTTTATTTCAGTATATATATATATATATATATATATATATATACATAAAATACAGACGAGTAGACTGAAATAACTATCTACTGCACTTCACCTTCCACGCTACACTTTAAACTTAAATAACCTAAAAAGTAATAATCCAAAACTGGTCGACGACCAGTCAAAGTTTTCAGAAAATTATTCTCAATATAATGGCTATCTTGAAAAAAATTCGCTAGAATAAAAGTTATTTCATATGTGTTATCTTTGTTGGACACCCTGTATAGCTTCTTAAGCTTTATAAATTTAAGCTTAAAATGGATATTTTATAGCTGTTTTTTTTACAACTACAAACTAGTATTAATATGAATTTTTAAAATTTTATATTTACTATATTTAAATCTTATAAACCATCCCACTAGATTCTGCTGTTCCGTCAATACTAAAATTTAAAATAAAACATATTTAGTACTCAATGATTTTTCTCAAAGTATTTATGAACAATGACTATGCGTTAAGTATATTAAATATAAAATATTTAAAATGTGCTTACCGGTCAATTCTTCTTCGGGTCTAAAATCTGAAATCAAAACCAAAAGTCTTGTGTGCGTAAAGAACATAAAACTACTGTGTGTGTAACTACTTTATAAAATTCAACAGAAACTATTACCCGGTACAGCTAGTCCAAAATTAAGTATCGCTGAAATTTACATTACATAAATTAATAACAGTGGCTTTGATTTGCTATTGTAAATACCTATTATTGTAAAGTAGAAAATAGAAAATATATCACTTATTTTTTTCAAATATTTTTCTCTACTTTTATCTCTTTTTATTAATATTATTAATTTAATGGTGACTACCGAAATCACTGAAATCCTCGTTGTCCACTACCAAACTTTCAATTACACTCTCCAATTTATCTAGAATAAAAACGATTTGGGCTGTACACATAGCAAAAACGTTTATATATTATCATACTAATTTTAAACATATCTTACCCGCTCCAGCAATCTTCATAGTCTCGTCTGTAGTGCATAATTAAATAAAAAATATGTATGAAAACGGTACATTTTAAAAACTATTTTTTTTAATAAAAAAAAAATGTTACTTACTTCCAACTAGAACCTCCCTGAGATATGTTACTGTAAGTGAAATATTATTATTATTATTTGATTTAAAATTTGTATTACTTGCCTCGAGTTGGTAATTGTGAAAATAAAATAATTACTTTCTTCATCTTTGTTAACGTCTGCCGAAACGTTTACCAAGATAAGCGATATGAAAAAACAGAAAACAATATTCATTTTTATCTGAAAATAATAATTAACGCATAAAAGCAATTTATATTAGTCACAGTTGCCTCCAGTGCAGAGATCAGAAGGTTTTGGTTTGGCATGGCTGTTAATTTGACTATTTCAAAAATAACCTTTGTACATTTTGGATGAACTCATTTAGAACCATACTGATTTGTTTTTGCTACAAAATATCAAACCAAATATTATCCGTCTTGTATAATACTTTTTGTTGTTGGTATACTTGTGTGTAAGTACATTCGTCGCCTGTAAAACAGCTGTTAGAAAAAGTCGATCCGAACCTAGTCTTATCTGACTTCGTCCTTGAAATTGTTTATGTCTTAATCGATGAAAAATAATTTCATATAAAAAAAAAATAACTAGCAATAAAAAAAATACTTATTACTGTCTTAATCGCACTAAAACTTAATGTTCATAAAGCTCGTGGCTTTTTAAGTAAAAATTTTTAAAGTTTGATGTAAATACTTACTATAAAAACTGTTGAGCCGTTGGAATTTCTTGGACAACAATCGACTTGTTCAGCTTTTGAAACTAAAATGTTCTTCTTGCGACTTGTGTATAAGCTCGGAGTTAAGTCATTTTTGTGCTTACGCATTTCATAGTACAAAAAAATCTGAGCACATAGACCGTTATTAAGTATTTTTTACTATGTGTATTGTCACTCATGTCATGTGATTTCATGTCGATACGGATTTAAAGGTAAATAAGACCTAGCAAAATATATTACCCTGTGTTTCAATTCAGAGTAAAAAATAAAACCTAACGCATTGTCAATTGGTGACCTAAATTTGAAACACCTTTAAAGAGTGCTGTACACGTTGGGAAAAAAAATGGTTTGAGTGTAGACATGTATAAAATTTATTAAGCTTGCGTTACAATAATATGCACCTAAATTAGACAAATTCAGGGTCTTTAGAATTTCACGGCCAACCACAGACTTGTTGACGATTCAGATACAATGCTTTTATCATCATTCCCTCTATTCCCTGGCTGTACTTGCTTTTTTTTTTTTAATTACTTTCCCCTTTTATTAATGTTTATCCGAACTGCAGATATCTTCAAGTAGAATACAAAATCCAAAGATGGATACTAACTGCAATACCTACTCATAAAGTTACACAAATCAATAATTTCCACGTTCCAGTTTATTATTAAACACATTAAATTAGCTGACAACTATTAGTGCGACATAAATTTAGGATATTAGTATGTAGTATAGAAATATTATTTAAATAGTATACCCAATGGTGTTGTATAACTAGAAAAGTTTTTACCATTGACTTCTTGTCTTAATTCAATCAACTTCTTTCTCATCGAGGTTCTACTGTACGCATCGAGGTAGATAATGCTATATCGTTTTGTACTCTTATCTGCTCCCATTTGCAACCGATCCTTTTGTATGTTTTCTCTGTAATTCCATTCCACAGTGTACAAGTATCTTCAATGGAGTCAATATCAATACTTCTTATGTATTTTTTTGGAAATCTTGTACTGGTGTAGACTCCCAACAAACGACAAGCCCGCAACAGAGCGCCATGGTCCAGTATATCCTGCATGGGTTCATCTGAAAAACGCCACGCTATTTGTACTACAGGAAAGTATGAGTCGCTGTATTAATATTTACCTAAATCGCGTTGGATTATAGTTCTTATAACCGGTCCAGTAAGATTTCTTCTGTCTCGTGCAAGTTCTTCCAAACTTACATATTTAATATCTACGAAAACCATTATCAAACGACCGCGTTGAAAGGAAATATTAAAAAATAAAGAAACACTTTAGTTGCATTGACTTGTTCTATAAACAGTCATTATTGTGGAAACTCAACGAATGTACATTCATTCTACAGTTGAAATCCCAAAGAACTTATTACACATTTGACATTGTCATTTTGTGTAGTCAACTTAACAAAAACAACGTTCAAAATATTATCACCATCTATGGGGTGTCTAAGTGTTACTCTCTCTCTCTCCTCGAGATAAAGTTTATTTTATTAAAATTATTGTGTTTGACATACAACGTTAAGCTAATTTCAACTGTAAAACAAGCAAGGATATTTACGACTATCGAAAAATCCGCATTACCTTGTCGTTCATCAACATGATATGGAAATCTCATTTCTGTAACAAATACATCAAATCATTATGCAGCTCATAAAGCCAGGCCCGGTATAAGAGATGATGGGGATACATTCGATAATAATGCTGATAGCCGATAGAACTATGTGCTCCACTGTGCTCGAAAATATCAAGAAAAAAATCTCAAGTACATCATAATGTATTAAAAACCAAAATTTCAGTTTCTATCAATTTCGAATACCTAACGTTAATCCGTGTAATTATTTCATCTGATGAGATATTAAAAATAATTATAAAGTGCGATGGATGTGGTGAATATTTTACCCCATAAAATGAGCATAGCTCCATTTTTGCTTTGAATCCAGAAAAACAGTTTTATACACAACAAATATATTTGTATTGTACATATTTAAATTGCATGCGGTCTGTTTTTTGACTTGTACTGAAAAATTTCAAATTTAATTATATTCTAGCTTATACTGGAAGTAAAAATGATTTAAAACATTGAAGCTTATACGAAAATTAACCGAAAAAACAATTAACATGGTCGAAATTTATTAAAATCATATTTTTTTTTAATATTGCCTATACAAAACTCCTTAAAAACCGACCTAATCCAACCTAACCTATCTTCTTGGTAAGGCACATTGAAATCTTCCTCTTTAGTAACAAATGTACCCCATAACCGGTGTAGATAAATAATAATATATTTAAACAATTATAAAATATAAATTATATTTCAAATTATCATCGAAAGCTTAAGCAAATAATATATATATAAATATATATAACTTATATAGCTACTTAAAGTTTTTCTTTACAACTACTAACTAGTATTAATATCAATTTTCAAAATTTTATATTTACTATATGTAAATCGTATAAACCATCCCACTCGGCTCTGCTTTTTCGACAATTCTAAAATGTTAAAAAAAACATTTTTTAATCTACCAATAATAGTACATAATGATTTTTAATGTAGTTACCGGCCAATAATTCTTCTTCGGGTCTAACATCTGAAATCAAAACCAAAAGTCTTGTGTGCATAAATAATATCAAACTACTGTGTGAAACACACTTCGATGAAATTCAACAAAAACTATTACCCGGTACAGCTAGTCCAAAATTAAGTAACGCTGAAATGTACATTACATAAATTAATAACAGTGGCTTTGATTTGCTATTGTAAATATTATTACAAATTAGAAAATAAAGAAAATATCACTTATAGTTTTGAAATATTTTTCTCTACTTTCATCTCTTTTTATTATTATTGTTATTAATTTAATTGTGACTACCGAAATCACTGTAATGCTCGAAATCCACAGCCAAACTTTCAATTATACTCTCCAATTTATCTAGAATAAAAAAAGATTTGGGCTGTACACATAGCAAAAACGTTTATATATTATCATACTAATTTTAAACATATCTTACCCGCTCCAGCAATCTTCATAGTCTCGTCTGTAGTGCATAATTTAAATATGTATGAAAACGGTGCATTTAAAAAACTATTTTTTATAATAAAAAAATGTTACTTACTTACAACTAGAACCTCCCTGAGATATTTCGCTGTAAGTGAAATATTATTATTATTATTTGATTTAAAATTTTTATTACTTGCCTCGAGTTGGTAATTGTGAAAATAAAATAATTACTTTCTTCATCTTTGTTAACGTCTGCCGAAACGTTTACCAAGATAAGTGATATGAAAAAACAGAAAACAATATTCATTTTTATCTGAAAATAATAATTAACGCATGAAAGCAATTTATAGTAGTCACAGTTGCCTCCAGTGCAGAGATCAGAAGGTTTTGGTTTTGCGAGGCTGTTAGTTTGGTTATTTCCTGAAAATAACCTTTGTACATTTTGGATGAACTCATTTAGAACCATACTGATTTGTTTTTGCTACAAAATATCAAACCAAATATTATCTGTCTTGTATAATACTGTTTGTTGTAGGTATACTTATGTGTAAGAATATTCGACGCCTGTAAAATAGCTGTTAGAAAAAGTCGAACCGAACGTCTTAGTCTTAGCTGACTTCGTCCTTGAAATTGTTTATGTCTTAATCGATGAAAAATAATTTAATGTAAAAAAAAAACAACTAGCAATAAAAAAATACTTGTTACTGTCTTAATCACACTAAAACTTAAACTTCATTAAGCTCGTGGCTTTTTAAGTTACAATTTTTAGAGTTTGATAGAAATACTTACTGTAAGACTGTTGAGCCGTTTCTTAAACAATAATGATCGACTTGTTCAGCTTTTGAAACTAAAATGTTCTTCTTGTGACTTGACTTGTAGGTCGAAAATCAGAATCCAGAATCCAATAGGTTTTTGCAGCGTAACCATGTTTATCTATTTACACAGATGGTTTATTTTTATATGATTCACGGTACAAAATATCAAACCAAATATTATCCATATTGTGTTGTACTGTTATTTTGTTGGTATACTTATATGTAAGAATATAGTAACACCAACAACTGTTTTACAGGCGACCAATATAAGAACCAGTTGTTGGTGTTGCGGTTAGGCTTAAATTGACATAACAACAATTTGGGGTATAAAAATCAATATTAATAATAATTATCAATTGGCAACCAAAATTTGGTCCACTTTTAAAGAGTTCTGTATAAATTATTTTAACTGTGAGAAACTTTGGTTTTTTTATTGGTTCGCAAATCCACGCATGTGTTTCAAAAGTAAACAAAGATAAATGAAAACATAGTAACCGTTTAAATGCTATTTTGTTTACATGTTCGAAAGACATATAACAGTTTTTATTAGGTACCCATATTGAACTTGAATTAATCGTTTAAACTGCTTCGTTTTAGCGGAAATTTTAAAGTTTGTGTTTAATTTTGACACTCTTTGACGACTACTTATAAATAAATACCGTTATTTGGATTTATATTTGTGTTTTGATAACAATGTTATTCATTCACAAAAACAATAACAACCGTTGATTTCAACGTCTTGGCGTCGACGTGTATTCTCTATTTTCTTGCCTTTGTCTCTGCGTTTAATGGCAGCACTCGTGTTAAATGGTCCAATAACATTAACGATAGTGGAAGCAGCAATAGAAATAACTACCCGATGAAAATTTTACAGCCAACAAAGTTTCCTATGGCCCTTTAGTAGTAAATATGACTCTTCTAGTTTGGCTCAAGTCCTCCGTACAATTGTACTATATAATATTATACTCATATACAGTTTGCTGTTATACGCAACGTTTTATTTCATTTTATATACAGGGTGTAACGTAAAGTTCAACCGAGCTTCGAATGAGACATTCAGGATGCTTTATGGGTTCAATAAATGGTATTCATTTTTAAAAATTTTAAAACGTTTTAAAAATAGAACTCGCAAAATAATTTCAGATTTAAAATCGGGAGAAAAAATCTTGCTGAATTGATATGTAACATGATTTTTGGTATCTGGCCACACATACGTCCACAGGATGGCCACAGAGTGGCCACTGAGAGGCCGACATGTGACTAAAATCAACATATGGCATGCGACACATAAATTAATGAAAAATAATTCTAAGGACACCTCGAAATTGAAAATAAATTCTATATTATATATTCTAACTGATAATGATGCGCCACTTGCCATATGTTGGTTTCACTCAGCGGCCACTCGGTGGACGCAAGTGTGGTCAGATACCAAAAAATCATGTTACATATCAATTCAACAAGATTTTCTCTCCTGATTTCAAATATGAAATTATTTTTTTCGTAAGACAATTTTTTAATGAGATGCGAGTTCTATTTAAAATAATTTTAAAATTAAAAAAAAATGAATACCATGCATTGTACCCATAGAGCATCCTGAATGTCTCATTTGAAGCTCGGTAGAACTTTACATTACACCCTGTATATATATTATAAAGTTACTCGGTCTAGACTGATTTTATGTGAGTTAATGGTGGCCCATTTTGTTATTACATGTAAGCCTCGTCAAATGAACGAGAAACGCTGCTTTTGACGGCATTGTTTTTCTTTTTTCGCCGACTGATGTTGCAGACTGAAAATTCCCAAATAAATATTAGTCAATATAATATACAGGGTGCTTTATTTAACATCAACACAAATGGTCCCAAAATATAGCTACAAGTTATTTATGTTTTCGGTAAAAAAAAAAAAAAATACAAAGTAATTGCCAAAGTTCACATCAATTTGTCAAACAATACAATAATTAACAATTTTTACCTTTCCTAATGACAATTCCCTAATTGTACTTACGGTTGGACTTGGGTCGAACATAATATATACGAACTACAATATTGGCAAGCACAATTCCGAGTAGTGCCTGCTGCGAGAGTTTTAAAATTGCTTTTCTAAAGGTAATGTTGATTTTATTCGTTGTTCGTGCACATAAATTTCCAACGGGTCTACTGTCTAATGTATATTTATTAGTGTTTAGAGTTTAAAGAGCTCGACATCAGCTTCGGTTAGCAGACTGTTTGAAATGGTAATTGGACGTGGGTAGGTATAAAAAATAAATCCCAAGCCAACTGCCGGAATCGACTTTGTAATTCAAACGCTACGCCGTTTCATTTGCGACGGATCCGATTTCTTGTGAACCCAAAAAGTTTCCATTTCTCCTTTTCCCTGAAAACAAAAACCCAATGGTAATGACACTGTTGGGATATTGGATTTTTTCTTTTTTTGTCCTTGTTTATTTACCTTCACCGCCACGGGTCCTCTGGGTATTAACGCGTACGAGTCATCCGGCAACAGCTGTTGAGTGGTGCAAGATATGTGGATTTTACCGGGCTAAACAAATTATAAAAAAAAAAAAAAAAAAAAACATTAAATTACAAAATATAGCATTTCAATCAGTGGCGCTTGCTCAAACTGATAATATAATATATTTGTATTATGAAATAATTTCTAACAAAAAAAAAAGGCAATGAATTTCGATATGGCGGTTCAACAGATGAAACACAGTCAATATTATGTACTTTCTTGTAGTAGATAGATTGACATAAGATTTAAGATTTCCTGATAGGTTAACTGATTTTGCATTTCTCCAACCAAAAAAATATGTTCTCATTAGACGCTGATAAACATTGTATTTTTAATTTATCCAAACGATATAAAACGTTTTTAATTTTGACTCTGATAGAATTTTAGCACAATATAATCGAACAAGAAATTGTGCACAAACAATTAAATTCAAGTATTGTCTAATATAAATCCAAATTACAAAGATTTAATTGAAATTTATACCATTTGTTCATGCTTGCCTGTGACAACAGCTTGTGTAAAAATAACTTTTTCTAAATTAACAAAGAAATTCCTGGAAAAATTATTATCCAAAATTATGTATATTAGTATGAACAGTTTTTGTTATATTGCCTCCTCCTCCCCCAGCTAAAATTCCTAGCTACATTTGTATTGATCGGCTGCCCGTTATACCTCACTGGTGGTTTGCATCCTGGACGCGGTATTCACCGTGTCGCCGAACAGACAGTAGCGGGGCAACTTCATACCGCAAACGCCGGCGACCACAGGTCCTGAGTGTACACCTGGATGAGTGAAAAAACAATTGAATTAAATTAAAATTTAAGAAAAAAATAATCCCTAATACAATATACCGTTATCGTTACCAATAACCCCCAAAAAAAGTACTAGTAGTAAATTAGCACGACTCCATCAAATGTTTCAAAATTGCACAAATTGTTAGTTGTTTTATGATGCACACATATTGCATAACATATTATTTAACAACAGTTGTACTGTATTATTAGTTTTTAAAATTACAGGATTGAGTATAAGAAATTCAAGTGGCTTAGTAATTATTGCTATTCCGGTTAGGTTAGCTTAAAAATTAAGTATACAGTTTAAACCATTAAACATAGAGACAGAACTATCCTCGTTGTTTGAATCTACAAAAAGTATATCTTAATATCATATACTATTTGAAAGAAAAATTGTTCAATTCTTATTTTCATCATAATAACTAATATAATAATTGTAAAATGTAAAAATACTTAAATGCCTAGCTAAATTGTTGAGAACAGCAACTAAAAAACCCATATTTATGTTTCAATATTTGAACTAAGTTTTATTGTAACTTAAAAAAAAAATAATTTACTATAACTTAAACGGAGTTATCTGTAAATATATAAATAATAATTATTTATTAAAACAAAATAATTGTATTTTACGTTTAATACTTTGATTATGCTGAACTCAAAAAGTATTCAACCAATTTATATTCGCAAGTTTGAATTTAGTTATTTATTTCACAGTAAACACAAATTTATTTTCACCAAAAGTTATGTCGTTTCATTGGAAATCTCAATTAAAATCTCCAAGTGCCTACCCTTTGACTCTTTACAACCCCAACAGCAATTATTAAGTTCAAAATCACTTTTCCGAGTAATTTTCCGAGCGACTACTAAAATATTATCAAGTTTTGCAATTAATTTTTTGTTTATTATTTCCAAAAAAAAAAGAACTTTATATTGCCGGGGCAAACGAGACGCATACTTCGGAAATAAAATAATGAAAATGTTTTATTTTTGAGTCCACTCGGGTTAAGTTTGATACGGATAAAATGATTGGGAAACGGGCGAAATGAGAAAATCGAAGAAATGGTATATAACTAATATCTATGTATACAGTTGGTAGTTTAATAAAACTTTCTTGGAACTATAATTTTATAGTCTTAGCAGACCAAACGGTTACATACATATATATATATAATGTGTGTTTGTTTCTTTGGAAATAGATAGTGAGCTCTTAAACTTGGACGGATTCGTCCGGACGATAATTCCGGATAGTTTATTTCGTTGTTTTTTTCTCTCGTTCTTTTGACATTATTTATATTATTATCATACCGATTTTTATAGTTATCCTTATGTTGTCGGGAAACTGCAAATCGCTGATGGTCTCTGCAAACTCCAAACTTAAATCGATAACGTTTTGGGCATGTTCGTCGGTATACTCTGGGGCGCCACTGACAGCCATGTATACTTGATTGACAGTTTCTACCTGGTGCACACAATACAATGTACATGTACACGAGTATATGGAATAATAAATTACACGTGAAATTAATTATAACACTTAAGGTGATTTATTACACTTAAGATGACGCCACGTCGCGCCAAAAACACAAGTAAGCATAAATTATCTGTACACATCTCTGAATAAATTATTGTTATTAATGTCATACTAACATTTTGTAGATTTTAATAGAAGAATTCCGAGATTGTTAATCGGTTGTGTACAAACTTTAAAACAGTGGAGGAGAATCAAATTTTGAAAGAGATGTAACCTGGCCCAATTTTAGTTTTCAACACAAGCTCTTTTTCCACGAGGACAGACTTTGTCACGGTTTTCAAACAAACAAAGGACCAAATAAATACATCAAAATGAATCCTACGACGCAGGTTTTTTTTTTATTGTTGTTTAACGTTTCCATGTTACCTTTTTTTTATTAGATCTCTGAACGGTAAACACCAAGCTTATGTACATGGCAGGCGAGCCAGTTGGTTATTTGATTAAAAAACACAGCCGGTACTGTCAAATTAAATATTAGGATTTCAGTCAAGTCTATGGCGAAAGTGTGTTCTTTTTTTTTTTATTCTACAAGCTAAATGTGCATTTTATATTCATCCCTTAGTACGACGAGACGACAGGGCGGGTCTGGGAAAAGAAACAAACGGTGGAAAATTATATGAAATATTTACAGCAGCTGCTGTACAATTAGCATTCAGGGTACGAGACACGCTTTTAATTTAATAGCACACTCCGTATAAAGTCTCATCAAGTCACGGCAAGCCGGCAAATACACCCTTCGGGGTTGGCTTTCGTCGTTTATATTTGTGTATATATAAATACCGAGAAGGATTTCTAACAGCTCGGGCCATTTGGAAAAATGGTAATGCAATAAACGAAAAGCAAACAGAAAGTAAATTAAATTAATTCGGTCCAAAGCGGGGCTTGTGCGTCACAGCAAGACGCGTTGAACTTTCTTAAACGAATCACTTAACAATAAACGCCATCAGCGCTTGGCCAGACGGTGAACTTGTTTGTTCATGTTTAATGCGATTATCCGAAGACCGTTTACAAAATAAACGCATTTAGCCAGAGCACGTCTTAAATTACACGGAAAAATCATTGTGGAAATTTCCCGGAAACTTCGGAAGCGTCTTAACGAAACGCCAGAAATCTCATACTAAAGCCACTGTTGTCGAACAGCGTAAACTCGTTTAAAACCCATTCAACGTCAGCGCCGGATTTTGTACATAATTTAATTATTTTCAATTTCGGTACATTGGCCGAGTGTGGTGGAAATAGCGACGGCACAGTCTCTAAAGTGTCGAGTCAAAAATAAAATTAAACAGGCAGCATATTCGGGCCGGAGAGGAAAGCCAAAAGTCACAAGTCTTGATGATAAACGTCCATGTTGCTATGCTAATATTAATATTAATATATTTCTTACCTGTCCCGAGTATAACAATGAAAATAATTCTTATCACTACCTACTTTTTTTTAGGCCTTCGAAACAGAAAAAATTATTTCAATGACAAACTATTTTTAGTAAGGTATAGACTAGCTAAACAATGTGTTAAAAAATTATGTATAAATCGTTTATATAAACCGAAACGTTAAAAGAAAGAAAAATAAATTGCCAAATAATAACTAACTGGCAAATTAATTATTAAATAATACAATCACTTATCACATATTATCTTAATAACCAATAAGAACGTTGGAATCAAGGTAACCGCTTTGGTAACCCAACTAACGTTTTGTTAACTTAACTATGATGGGATTTAACAGTAATAATGTTATGGTGAATCTTATTTCATTGAACCAGACGTTAAATTTAAATGAATTGTTAACACTAACATTATGTTAAGAGTGTATTTAACAATAGTTGGTAAAACCTGCTGAACACATTATACGGAATTTTTACCTTATAAACGTGAAAACGATCCGTCAGTGCGTCGAAGCAACTGAAAACCGTGTTCATACATTCGACCACGCTCATTACGCCTTGGATTGTCGATTGCGGGTTTAAGCCTTCGACTTCGCAAAACATCACGGACACCATGTTGAACGTCTAGTAATATAACGGTAATAAGTGCAATTTATATAGCAAACCTATAGTTTTGTTTTAGAAACATTGTCTAATGCCCGGTTGCACCAAACGGAAATGTGCGTTATCAGCAGTATGAATTAATAATTTTATCATACCGGGTCTAATCAACGATAAACTGATAACGCACATTTCCGTTATCACCACTTTAACGCAAAACATTGATAACAAAATTTAACTATACATACATTTTTAACAACAGATCAAATTTAAAACATGGTTTATGCAACAGTATTTATTTTAACTCCAATTAAACGAGTTTATCTCTATGTAAATATTTGGTGCAACCCGGCATTAGACGGACAGGGTGGCAGGGAGAAGGATGATCTCACCTTGCAAGTTTCCATGGTGCTGTGTCCGTTTTGCAATTGATCGGCCACGATTTTGGGCAACATGGAGTACAAAAGATAATCGCCTTTTCTCTTCCACCGGTCCAGCTGGTCGTAGTTGTCTTCAAGATCCTGCGACCACTGTTCTGCCCGTTCGAACATAAGCTCCAACCTAAACACACACACACACACACAAACGCCATAACGATGAAATATGATATTTGACATCAGCCCCAAGTACCTAACCCCCCCCCATGTAATTCCATACATTACTTACCGCGAACAGTGTTGCCAACCTGCCAACACCAGCTCTCTGCTTAATCCGTGCAAGTTCAGATCGTTCATAAACAAGCCCATGGCTTGCAATTCGTCAAGATTGTTCACTCTTAAAACCATAATATATATATATACATATCAAATTTCATGCCGGAAATAATAGTTTTCGGGCAAGAGTAGTACAAAATATACGCATAAGCCGGGATTTGCCGGATTTGCCTTGCTACGCTATAGTAATATAATACCAAAAGAAAATAACTTTTAAAGAAAAACAAAAATCACCTAAACATTGCATAACAAAAATAATTTATGTTTATTGAGACGCTTATATTAGAACAAGGGCCCGATTTCTAATTTTGGTTTTTTGTCAAGAGATATAAAAATTATTTTTTTTTAACGAAAACTTTATAATTTTGCTTAATTTATTACCATTTAACGGGATGATTTAATATATAAAATATTGATTTTTAATTTTAATTTAGCCTAAGGAATTTTGTTAAAATTTGTAAAATTGACCCATTGTTCTAATCAAAATGTTTAAAATTGAAAGTGCATATTTATTTAACAAAAAAAAAAAAACCACTTGTTCTGTGTATGAAATTTAACATTTTTTATTCAATATCATGCACAATATTATATTAACATGCTTTGAGAATATTGCTACACAGTTGTACTTTGGTTTATAAAACAACATTTATTAGGCCCTTTTTCTAGTAAAATAAAATTAGGTTTTCTTATCACAGTACGTTACTCTAGTATGCAATATTCTATCACAATATTAAATTAAAAAAAAAAGAGAAATTATAAAAAAAAAAACAGCATTTTTAAAAAAAAAACCGAATTGGGTCCTTGTTCTAGTAAGTGTCTCAATTGTTTATCTACTAAGCGATAAAAAATAAAACAAGTGGGTTTTCCCCGAATTAAAACCCAGCAGCGTGCATAGAAAATAATCTTAGGGCGGAGGATGTGTTTACATCTAGGAACTTTCTAAAATGTTGTAAACACTTACAATATTAGTATTCATAAAAAAGTACTGATGCTTACAATTTTTTCCCTCAAGGAGTTACAAAAACTTAGATAGTACTACTTTTTCCTAATTGTTTATTACTCAATGAAAATTAAGTAACAAAAAATAATAAGTGAGTCGACGAATCGGTTTGATATCTAATACAAATTTTAATATTTAGTGTAGTTTTTCTTACTTTAAATTGTTAAGTCGTTTCTATGATACAAGTATTGATTATAATAATTGTTTTTTTTTTTAATGTTTGTATTCTTACTTCATGACTAGTTGAATGGGATAAAAACCAGCAAGAATAAAAAGTGTTCATTTTTTTTTTTTTATAAATAAGGGTTAATAAGATAGATTTTATCCTGTTTCTAAAATAATCAATTATTTGTCGTAGGAAAATGTTGAAAATAGTACAATTTAAATTCATACATTATATCATGTTATTGTTTACTCATTAACAGTTCAGGGTGTGTAGAAGCGACAAAGCCTCTTGGGCCCTGGGGTCTCATAATTTTGGTCAGCTTATAATTAACCATCATAATATACAATTCTGGTACCTAGTTCCACTTATTATAATTATTTATGTAAACTCCATTGAGTATGGTCGTTAATAATTATTACCCAATAGAACTTTAATAACACATGGCAATTAACCCTTGGACTGCATGTATATCAAACAATATATTTATAGAAGAAAATGTATTTGAAATACTAAAACTTTGTAAACAAAAATATTGAACGCGCATTAAACAAATTAAAGTGTTCTTTTTTCTTTTTTTTTTTTGTGATTTAACAGTTAACACGACGTGCCAACCGTTAAGTTTTATTTGGAATAACAAATTTAATTATATTGAAAAAGTTTCCTTTTGTAATGTACGGAAAACGTTGATTTAATCTAATTAGAAATCAATAAGTTTAATTGCATTCGAAAATGATCAATGGAGAAAAAAATAAACAAAATGGCGCATATTACAGTCTGTTTTTTTTAATTTAATTTACTTCACAGCATACCTACATGAAATTCAATGACGGGCTAGTAGTCTAATTAACCAAAAAAAAAAACATTTTTCAGCTGGGTCTGCAACCACGAAAGAGCATTTTCATGTCTCGTTGAAGTACCGAATAAAATTAGAGTAGTGGTGGAATTAGAGATAATGAAATAGTATATTAACAAACAGTAACAAGCTAGTATCTAAGGTGGTACAAATATTTTAGTGTTTCAATAATATCTGGCCTAAAACAACACATAGGAATACGACCTCTTAAATTATTGAATTTATTTTTCAGTTCTACTTTGTGAATACAACATATCTCTTATCTCTTATCAGATAACACGCGGTAACACTTTTTTCGGTTATGTGCCAGAGCTAATACATGAAAATGTCTAAAAGGTTAATCAGAGGAGACATTAGAGTGACATAGTTGCGTTTGAAAGTGGTTAAATAATAATAATTATTATATTAAAGTACTTGGCTGACTTACACCGGACTGCACAAGAACACCACCACGTCGATTTCCTTAAAGTGTCTCATTTGTCCTTTGAGCAGGATACTCCTGGAACCGTAACTACCTCTTCTGTCCAACGTCGCTGGCAACGGGCTAACAGATTTTTTTTCATCTTTAGGTGTACTTTGATTTTTGGACAGCAGAACATGAGTGCACCGCAGGACTTCCAGTTCGAACGTCACCGAAGTCAAGTACATAAGCTATAATATATGGCAAGAAAAAAATGTTGTTTATATACCTATTATTATCACACAAGAGAGCCCAAAAGACACAGTATACGAGATAAAGCAATTTCTGGAAGCGAAAACGCCGTTCTGAATTTAATTTCAAACGGGAAAATAGTTTCGAAATATTTCGAAACGCATTTGTCGAAAACGTCTGCGACAAAACTTGCTTATAATAATTATATATATAAACGGGGAAACGTCGGAATGGTGTTTCGTTGTTCTTATGGCGAAGAAATGCGTGCCGGATACCAACTGAGAGGAATGCCGACTGAATACCGTTAACTTAGACCAGGTGAAAATTCATCAGGGTGCACGTGGCATTTATAATAATAATAATAATACCGTGTTGGACTAGCCCCGGTTAAACCTACCATGAAACTATTTAGATTGTACCTCGAAAGCGCCAACGATTTGTTGTCTTAAAAGAACACATTTCATTTTGGGGGCCCTAAATTAAAAAAATAAAAATTTTCAGCAGCATGTATGCATTAAAATACCAATTAATAATATACCAATACAAAATAGTACTGTAATTAAGAACTATGAAAATGTATGGACCAAAATGTATGCGTTTGCACTGAACGAACTGATATCATTTCTATTAAAATTAACTGTGCACTAATGCCGGGTTGCACCAAATATTTACACACTCGTTCAACTGGAGTTGAAATAAATTCTGTTGCATAAACCATGTTTTAAATTTGATCTGTTGTTAAAAATGTTTGTGTAGTTAAATTTTGTTATCAACGTTTAGCGTTAAAATGGTGATAATGGAAATGTCCGTTATCAGTTTATCGTTGATTAGACCCGGTATGATAATAACATTAATTCCTACTGCTGATACCATTCATCCGGTAACCGGTATACCGGTAATAACCTGAATATAAAACAACGATTGAGCAACACAAAATATGTTAATTTAACAGAAGATAACGACACGTTTGATACAACCGGGCATAAATATGTCTAATTTTTTATAAAAATTTATTTCTCTGGGTATTAATAATGACATAGTATTTTATGCTGCCGGGGTTCAATCATTAGTGCGGAATAACACTAATCTAATTTGTACTGTGACTTTGGAAGCAATCAAGCCGTTTGCACATCTGTCACTGACAGCCGGCCGATCTTAATGAGTTCCGCCGAGCAGCGTTTACACTAAATTAGACTGTACAAGAGAGAGATAGAATGACAGAGAGATACATAATTGGAAATTCGGTTCGTTACACTCCCGTGTCTGTTCATTTGGAGCTTCGGGCTGTGCAGAATTTGTAAGGAATGTGGTGGGAATACTATGCTGCTTAATGAAGGAACATCGGAAATCGTACGACTGAATTCCGAATGGAATCGAATCCATTATGGACACCTCATTTGCCAAGGAAATGCGGATTTCAAAACCGTTCGACGTGTCTCGTTAAACGACTGCGATTACTAACACGGCCGTTCACCGTGAACTGTGCTAACGTTATTCAAACCAAGTCAATCAGAAGTTAAATGGGGTATTTCTACAACAGACTATATCCGTCACCCTCGCTATGTATTTTAACACATTTATCTCGTTTTCCGGTAACGTAAAATGTTTCAATTCTATTCTCAAAAAAACCTTAGTATGCTTTGGCTATGTTTGCTACACATCTAATGGCCGGTTCGGTGCTTCCATATCTCTTTTGTATCAGTGTAATAAATATAGCTGTATCACATTTGGAACGTGGGTAGGTTGGGTTCGTAGTACTGTACAATATTAATTATAGAGAAGTCTTCTGAAGTTAGTTTCAAATAGAATTCCCATAAGCATACGTCTTTACAGGTATGTAATATGTTAAAACATTATGGCCGGGTATTAAGGCTAATACTGTAAGGGTAGACTGTAATAATTTTGTCGGTGTACTGTGACATAAAAAAGTTACACCTGGGCTTATGTCGAAACTTGGAACATTAAAAGGTAATTGGGTTTTCATCTAGGGACATTGTCGATGGTTTAATAAATTTCCAAACCAACTTACGCCATTAAACCGCGTTCTACATTATTAGGGTTTCAGTATCATTGTTATGTTTGGCCATTAAACCGAAAGTTACGCCAGGTTTATTACATATATATATATATATATATATATTATATATATATAAATTTTATCCTTAATAATCTACCTTGTTAAGAGTTACAAATTAATCGACTAGTAGTCTGGCAAAGACCTGTAGAGATAATAAATTATACCGTAAATGGTATTCATTTTTTTTAAATTTTTAAATTATTTAAAATAGAACTCGTATCTCATTAAAAAATTGTCTTACGCAAAAAATAATTTCAGATTTGAAGTCGGGAAAAAAAATCTAGTTTAATTGATATGTAACATGATTTTTTGGTATCTGGCCACATTTGCGTCCACCGAGTGGCCACTGGGTGGCCGGCATTAGACCAAAACCACCATATGGCAAGTGACAACATCATTATCAGTTAGAACTTTGTTCTCAATTTCGAGGTGTCCTTAGAATATTATTTTATATTAATTTATCTGTCGCATGCCATATGTTGGTTTTAGTCACATGCCGGCCACTAAGTGGACACCCCGTGGACCTATGTGTGGCCAGATAACAAAAAATCATGTCCCGTATCAATTCGACTAGATTTTTTCTCCTGATTTCAAATCGGAAATTATTTTTGAAGCATCCTGAATGTCTCTCGTTTGAAGCCCGGTAGAACTTTACATTACACCCTGTACATATAGTTCAGTGGTTAAAAATGATTATTATTATTATTATAGATCATGCTCACGTTCGGCCAGGTGAACGGTATGTCTCTGGGTCGTCGGAGTATCAAGTGTTCGACAATCGGATGACCGCGAACTTCTTCCAGCGTGACGCCCCATACGCTTAACAGTTTTTCGCCGGCATCCATGATGCGAATGTCCCGGTCGATGATCACCCCGAACGGGAACAGCCGAAGCAGCACCGCGATGGGTATTGGCGGCAGCTGAAGCCTCTCGATGGTTTGCACGGCCGCGTTTTGGTCGACGAAATGGCTATTGTCAAAGTCCAAACGGAACTTGACCAGAATGTTTTGCGAACCGGCTGGCATCGCCGGAGCGCTCGTATGCTCTTCCTGAAGTACGCGGATCTTGAGTTTGGTGTGGTACACGTCTTTGGCGATCTCGTCCAATTGGCCTGTCGCCAAAAATAATATTGGGGTTATAGTAGCAAAAGAACACAAACCGTTTCCCATAACGTTAGAAAAATCAGGGTCTCAGACCGGATCAATTGACACCGGTGTATGAATTATGGACCTGAGCTGAACACCATACACAATTTCAAAGGTAAGGTTTTAGCCGATTTGTTTCAATTTGATTGATTCTTCTTCGGTCCACTCATACTGACTTATTTTACTATATAATTTTCATCTGTTCTTGCAACATGCCTAAATCATCACAACCCGTTTTCTTTGCTATTTTCTCTGCTATTGGTGCGACAATCTTTCTCTTATTCTACCTAACCTAGTCACTCCAAACATCCGTCTTAACGTTCTCATTTCAGCCACTTCCATTTTCCCTCCGTATTTCTTATACATTTCCCAACACTCGCTTCCATACACCTGTGCTGGCTTTGTGATCGTTGTATAAACTTTTCCTTTCACTCTGAACAGCATCTTTCTGTCACACAACATCCATGTTGGCGAACATACTCTTGTTCGGTGTAGGGTAAATATTCCCAACATCAAACTATTTAAACTTAAAAATTAATTTTTAGGAATCATTTTACACAAAGATCTAAAAGTATCAAAAATTTTGTTTTGTGGACTGCGATACTTAAAAATGAAACAGATCTCATCTACAATAAACCGAATTTTTAAAGTGAACTGATCAGGATCAGTTAATTTTCTTTTCAGGTATTTTTTCAACATAAATAAGATTATATTAAGTCACAAGTTAAGACACATGATTTGTGTAAAATAACTAATAAGACTTGATTATAAAAAATAAAGGAATGAAGTACTCCCTTGAATGAAGTTACACCGAAGTACTCCCTCATGACATAGACACGTCTTAGCAAGGGATAATTTTCGCTTTCTCCTTCGGTGCCATACCCTGCTACAAATTAAGGTCTATTATGCATATTATTATAATGTTTATTGGGGAAACACAACTCGGGCAATAAAACGTGAAGATAACACTATGACGTTGATAACGGTACTGTGGTTAGTTTCATGACTTGAAATGAAGAAGTTTTGTACATTGTTGTTTGCAGTATTATAATTTTAGTAATTTGCCGTTATCGCGACTGCCTCGAATGACGGGTAGGACTATATTATCTAAATGCTAACCTTATATAGCTGCAGGGACTACCGGTTTCAACTGTGTAACTTTTCGAGTTTAATCTAACAAGAGTCGGTCGGTGAAGTCCGTAAAACTTGAAAAAGTAAATACAGAGGTGAATTCGCGGAATTACCACAGCCGATATAAGGCTTAGCTAAAGTTTAGATGAAAATCCCACCACATAACAGCAAGTCATGTTCGTGTGGCCATAAAGCGAAACTGTTACGGGTAAACACACTTTTGTATAGTACAATGTGAAACTTTTCCGGCGTGCAAGCTGGAAATAACGTCGAATAGACTTGTAATTCGTTTTTTTTCAACGTACTTACTGTTCACGCTTTGCCGGTGGAAGAAAAGCACTTAACCAAGTTGTTGCGAGAGATGAGATAATATTCTAACACGAAGAAGAGAAGGCATAATGTAATATAGTCGCTCAAGCAATTGTGTGAAGTAATAAGCTGAGAGCGAAAAAGTGAAAAGGCCCAAATTAGGTTTGTTATATTTTATGAGCTAGACAAAAACCGTATGTTAGGTTCTCAAAGAAGGTAGGTATATTGAGTAATTCTAACAATATATGTAAGATAGTGTGTAAGTTTTTGAATAATTGCTATTGGAGAAAACTAATCTAAAGTTGGACAATACTAATTTAAGCAATTAGAGTTAAAGTTTAGCAATGAGAAAGTCGCGAAAAATGGTCAAGTTGTCCAAGCTGTCAAGTTTGGTCAGCAAGGTAATGGAGAAATTGTTAATTCAGGTCTTAAATCCAGAATAAGTATACAAGAGGTAGCTTAGGAGTTGTGTCTATGTCAGGTAAGACGGAAAACAGTAGATTAAAAAAAATGGGTTCGGCATGTTAATAAAAAAGATGTGATACACTATTTTTGAGTTACTACAGCTTATTCTCAAAAGTGATTCGTTTCGGCTCTGTAGGTAATATTCTGCAATGCAACTATATTTAATTTTAAACTTTGCCAAGGCTAAATAGTGGTAATAATTATTAAGCTACATCTCCGCATCGCTGGTTTTTATGTCGTCTCATACTCATCCGCATAATATACAACAATACAATCAACAAAGTACAAGCCAAAACGAGTAATTGCGTTAAACATGACGGTACAATATATGTATGAAAGGAGCTTTTATCTTTGTTTCTCGACGCGTTAGATCGAAATTTGTAAGTTAAATTATTATACAACGAGCAGGTTTGACAGTGTGCATTATTATTATCTGTCACTGCCACATTACGGTTAATACAATAATAACCGGCGGCGGTGAATATTTCACACATCGAAACATACGGGTACTCTCGTCAAGTATGATAATTATACGGCTACCACCGATTACATAACATACAAATATCTGGGAAATTCGAATGGAGGTAGCAGAGCAAATGTAATTTGCATGTGTATACAACTTGTACGGCTTCGATACGAGACTCGTCGGCAAACACACACGATCAAAGTTTGCACACAATAAGCATATTCCTCATCGAGTGGAATACATTTAGAAGCTGTACACGTTCAACCGACTGGAATCGCTTTACCGTTCGTTCGACATAATAATATATATTATTGTGTACGGTTTATTTACCAGCAGAATTCAGAGTGGAATAGGTAAACCGATATTAGTATTTGTACAGCCCACAGCGTGATTGATCTTGTGGATATTAGCGTTGGCGTGACTGATAACAAACCAAAAAGGGAGTCTAATGTATCCAATGTTTGTTCAGAGGGCTTTCCTCGATTAACGGCACGGGAATGGCCAAAAGCAACTTTAATAAAATATGTGTACCGACGGATTTGTCGACGGTTTGCTGATCACGGTCGTTCTGGGTCAAAGGAGACGTTTTCCATGACGTCATTGCTCATAACTCTGAAGAAAAATGTGCACAGCTGCCTGTGCGAGGAATAATAAATCGTTGGTATGGTTGAGTAATTTGTGTTTCAACGTTTTTGCAATTCCGTTTTTAGCGACGGCACCGAAGTTTAGACAAAAATTTAATTAAATAATAATACCTGCCTGCGTTTATAAAGTCTTGACGATGCTGAGAATCGGACAGCTTTCTAAAATTCTCGACCATTATTACTATTTCCCAGGTGCCTCTAGATCTTCATTATACACATTTTATTATTCATATTTCCACAACGAGAATGTCAAGTATTTGTTTTACACCGAAATTAGGAACGGACGCAACACAGTTTTTGTACTAGTATTATTATAAGGAGCTTTAAAGCAAGCCGGATTCATGTTGTACCCTCAGTGTATATATTATAAAGTGCTATAAATTAACTAGCATAACTTCCAGTTTTCCCGGTACGGATAGAGTATTATAATAATATATACTAAGCCTCCGCTTTGTTATAATCATTTAAAATATTAACGTCGTCTGAAGTACAGTAGGATTATTCTTGGTTATATAGTAGTATGTACTTTATGTATAATAATATACTAAATGCGAAAAATTATCAGAATATAGCAGAATATTGTTGAATAAAAAAATGTAATATTATCGCGCAATAATCAATATTTTATGTGTAAGCACTACTACTTAAGTAGCAGGAAAATTTTTAAGTATGTTTTTTGTGTACAAATGGACACTGAGTCAAGATTAGTTTTACACCCAGTAAAGAAATAATTGACCCACTAGATTTCCTCTATCCAAATAATGATAGTCTAGGAGGAGGGTACAGGTGTAAAGTGAAGTTAAAAATATCTGATATGAAAAAACCGGTCATTGTGAACTATTTTACAATCGTACAATAGTCCTTGGCTGTATCTTCTGACAGAAATAAATGTACTGTACTGTAGCTGAAGAAAAATGACTACAATTAGATATTACTTTAAGGAAAAATTCAAATGGTAGGTATAGGTAGGTAAAAGGTAGGTATAGCATTTATAAATATTCTGTGGTGTTGTTTATTGATAATTAAATACTATGCTTTGAACTTAAGCATACTATGAAGTAAAATATTAAAAGTTGTATGCCGGGTTGCACCAAATATTTACACAGAGATAAACTCGTTTAACTGGGGTTAAAATCAATTTTTGTTGCATAAACCGTGTTTGAAAGTTTATCTGTTGTTAAAAATGTATGTATAGTTAAATTTTATTATCAATATTTTGCGTTAAAGTGGTGATAATGGAAATGTGCGTTATCATTTTATCATTGATTAGACCCTGTATGATAATAATATCAACTCCTATTGGTGATACCATTTATTCGATAACCAGTACACTGGTAATAACCTGAATATAAAACAACGTTTTAGCAACACTTGTAAATTTAACATAAGTTAGTTTATTACGGTGGTAAATAATTTACCAATAGATAACGTCAAGTCTGGTGCAACCGGGCATTAATATCAGTGTTAATAAGTAGTATGACTTTTTAAATATTAATACATTTATGTAGGTTATAAAGTCTGGTAAGTGGTGTATTCTGATTTTGAAGAAGTTTTAAGGGGAGTAAAACACAGCGAACCCCTTTTATGTACATACGAGGTAGTCTTTCTCGATTATTTTCAAACTGAAATGTACAAACACGCGGTCACACTTAACTACCTTCTCATTCGTCGAACCTATCGTGTAACCGTTTCTACCCTGCCAGTGTTTAAATCGATATTTGTTTGGCGGCCAGGGATCCGCCGAGTACTCGAACAACGGGAGAGCCTAAGGAGCTAACCAATGTATACTTACGGTGTACTTACCCATGAAATATTGCGTGAACCCTTGTCTGGTGCTCCGGTACACGAGCACGCACCCTTGTCGGTCCACGTGCGACATGTACATGGAGGGGCTCTTCATTTTCGGATAGGCGAATCTCATTTGCAAATGAAGGTTGTCCACGTTTTTCAGGAACTCGCAGAAGTACCGACCGGTCGCCCTGATTGGCGCGTCGTATCCCAAGTTGCTGAAAAACCGCACAAAGCACCGGCCAAAGTAACGCATAAAGCTGTCGGCGGTCGGTTCCTGGTCTTCCGGTTCCTCGGGGTCGGTGAGGACGACGGCCGCGGCTTCCGCCAGATTGGGCATCAGGGAATCCGGATATATGTGATGTGTATTGAAAACGGTCCACTTGCACTTGGTCAGCTTGACGATTTGGCGCCACGCGTTTTCCCCATACTCCAGCTGCGGCGAGACGACAATTTTTTTAATTTAAACGCATGCACGTTTAACAATTACAAAATATGTTTCATATGAGGCGCTCAGATGCCAAACCGATTAACTCCACTTTTTTTCAAATCGCGAAAAATAGCACGGTTGGATTAAAAGAGTGTATAATTTTCAGTGGCCGAGATATATGTGATATACGCAAGAGTTAGTGCGCTAAGAAAAATGGCAATTATACTTACATACATTGTTTCAAATAACTTTAACGGCCTGTCCTGAACAATTTCATTTTATGGGGTTAATCAGTTTGGCTTTTGAGCGCCTCGTATAAAACCACCGTAGAAGTCAATAAGTTTATAAGGGCTAACACAGTAACTGTCACCGAAGCAGACACTACTGTAGACAAAACATATTTATTCAAAATGTTTGCAACGTAATGTGTATGTAAATATTATACGAATGTTATTTCTGTGTATTAGGAGCAGCGGTAACAGCTATGAAAGATTTTTGTAATGTCGAAAATTTGGGATTTACCGGATTTTTTTTATAAAGTTGAACAGAATAATTTATTCCGTTTCTATTAATTCCATTTCCGTACATATAAAAATCCTCTTGCAAACAGATGTGATACTCGACAGGGATATTTCTTGCCAATGAGTCACCTAACAAAGAAAACCGGGGTTTTTTTTTAAAAACAAAAAATCATGTTAAATGTGTTTTAGCTTCGAAGCGAAAGTGTCTCTTAAACCGGCGGATCGATTTTTTAATGTAGATTAGAAATCATACCCAAACATTTTTTTATTAGGCACAAAAATGAAAATTTTTATTGTTTGGCATACTATTTAGATACATTTTCTTTTTAACACTTTTGAAAAATTCCTTAAGCTAAATTAAAATTAAATATTAATACTTTATAAATAATGCAACTTATTAATTGGTAATAAAGTAGGCAAAATTATATAAAGTTTTCGTTAAAAACCAAATTTACCAAGAAAAATCAATTTTTGAGTCTCCTGAAAAAAAAACAATATTTGAAAATCTATTGTATCTATTTATTACGGAGTGCACTATCTGATTTTATGCAATCTGCAGTTTAACATTCCATCAATATAATATTAGCTAATCACTATTACTTTATGGCCCGGACCTGTTGGTCACGGATCGGACAACAGCCGCATCTTTGGAATCGTATAACAATAATAGTGTTATATAACTTATTATTATCATGCACAGGCGACAATGGACGATTGGCATTGCGGTCACGTTACGGTGCTCGGCCGGGAATACACAATCTATCGGACGAATCGAATCAGACCGGCGTGGGTGTACCATACATATTACATTCGAGTGTGTGTGTGTGTGTGTGCTATAGCCGACCGACCGACCGATGAGGAAAGGGGAAAGGATAAGGGGGGCGCAAAAAAGGAGAAAAATTAGGGATTACCGGGAAGTTTTGCCGCAATCTCGAGGAATACCGCATAAACCTTCCAAGACATTCCCAGAGGCGAGACCAGTATACCAGGTATTGTCCGATCGCCACCCCTTGCCTAGGCGAGATACTAAGAAATTGGCAAACACTCCAGACGTACGTCCCTTCGCAAAACAGGTCACATCTCTCAGGATAAATCATATATATATATATATATAAATTGGGTATTTGTTACCAGCAGAATCCCGCCGAATCGTTACTGACCGAAGACCCCGCAGGAATAATAATAAGTAATAACAACAATAGTGTCGTTGAAAACCGCGCACAAACCTGAATGAAATGCTGTACGCTCTCCAGCAGCATGCCGTACATGATTTCCGATTTATTCGTATCAGCTGTATATATTTTGTTTAAGCTTTAAAAAAAATAAGTACAAGCAAAAAAAAACTTTAGGACCGTGTGAAGCGCGCACCGTGACATCCAGTACACTGGACGCGCCCGTCGTTCTACGAAGCGACCTTATTAAAAAAAAAAAACTCTACACAGGACGTGCAGAAAATTGTTAATTGTCATTATATTATGTTTCTTTATCACACACCAAGGACACGCCATTCGGTTACTGTGTATGGTGGTCAACGGGTGCAAAGATTTCAATAGTTAAGAGGGCGTCGCAACGCCTATTTTTAAGGAGTAAAGTATAGGCAATCTTTCACAAAATCTTAATCTTGGCTAATTTATTTTTCGGGCTATCACAGCATCCTTGAAAGCGATTTGAAAATGTTTTTTCGTCTCTACATGTTTAAGCACCCATTATAAAATTAAAAGAAAACAATATTTTGGAGGTGCGATTTTTTCATTATTCCAAGAATAACGCTCAAAATACATAGTTTAGAAATAACGACTATTTTAACATTTTTAAATGACTGTAACTTTTCAAAAAAAATATTTTTTTTTTAAAAACGCACCGTCTTGCCCTCCGGAATATTGTTTTCTTTTAATTATATAATGGATGCTTTTACTCTAAAACCAAAATTAAGCGAGTTATTTTCAGTCTGCTTAAACATGTTTTTACCACTGAAAATCACCAGTGCGACGCCCTTTTAAGATGTTATCGTTTTCTATACATCTCGCATAAACGGTTGTTTGGTTTTTTTGGGTAAAAGGACTCTACGCCCTCAATTATGAGTTAGTTTAAGTATGGGTGATTTTTTGGAAAAAATCTCAGCATCAAGCAGCTGATACTCTAATTAAGTTTAAAAACATTTTTCCAACCGAAAACCTATAAGCTAACCTGAAACCGGCCTTGGAATTTTCAGTCTTGCTACAATTTAAGTACTTTTGATAAACAAAATCTTATCTATTCACTGTACAAGGTGAATTATCATTTAGTATATAAGACACTCTTTTTCTCCCTAAAAGCAATATTGCAATTTTATTGATTTTGCTTTTTGAAAACGTTTTTTGTTCGTGTTATCTTACAAAATTATTTAATATTTACTTGTTTTAAGTATTTTCCAGGAGTCTGTCTAACATTTGAAAGATAAAAATAACTATACACTCCACTCTTCGTCCGGTCCTAATCTTTAAACTTCAATAACTTACTTAAGTACTTGTCCAAAATTGGTTATCGATCAGACAGAATATTCAATAAAATTATTTTTAATACAAACAATTAATTTAAGTATAATATACATTACAAATTAAGTTTCAAAAGTCGATGGCGCTTAGGGAAAAAATTTAAAAAATATAAAAATTTGAACATTTCCCAATATTGTACAACAACATAAATTAAAGTATTTCCAAAATGAAAAACTGCAACCATTTCAAGAGAAAATTAGTGTCTTATCCAATTGAATGAATCACTCTGTATGTACTCCAAATTTCTTTAGCGCGTCTTGTTGTTTTTTAAATGTCTTCCAAAGTTGTAAAAATACGGTTTTGTGGCATTTTCAGTGTTCAAACGCGGGCTGTGAAGTTGAATTATTTTCTGAAATATATTTCAAATGGAGCTTTTGTTATATTTGTTTTTTTTTTTTTAACAACTGTAGCGTTCAATAGTAATCCTATGCGGTACATTATATTATTGATTATTGCCTGTGTGTGTGTGTGTTAGGGATAACCATACAACGTGTGAACGTGACATAACCACTGCACAAAAGCTTACGGGATACATATTATTATGGCCAATGTGCACATAAATATAATAATATGGTATAGAGGTTCATAAACTATACGGAAATACGGATTAATAGATACAATTTTACTTGAAATATTATTATCACCTCAGCTGTTAGCCTGCAATCCGTTTTCCAAATGAGTTAAGCACGATTTCCATTCGATATAGGTAGTGATTTATTTTGCTTTAAACCATATCAATATATTCACATTGTAGCCAAAAAATAAAATACAAATCATACCGTTTATTTAATAAGAAAACAAAATCAATAATTAGTATTTAACAATATTTATGTATTTATAATCTATCAATGCTTTTAAATCAAAAAAATATAATCTACATTTACATTGACTAATACATACTTTTTTTTTTATAACATATATTTACTTACTTTTGTAAGTATTTAATTTAACTGTTAAAAAATAGTTATCATTGTTTTTTTTTTAATTTTATATATATTAAAAAACAAATTCAACACACCAGTCCAATACTATTTATTTTAAACACATCAGTACACATTATTTTACATTAAATTTTGTTGACATAAGGGCGTTGATGTTATTTTACAATGTTTCCATGTGGATAGCTGTTTTAATACCGGACTCAGTCTACACCACTGACATCACTCACTAATGGCGCTAATTGTAATTTTCTCACATTGTTATGTCAATGGATTTCATCAGTACAACAACGCATTAAACTGCTATTTCAAAACGTTACAAAAATATCACAAATGCACACAATAAAACCACAACGATAATATTCGGTGCATTTGTTGCTTATATAAAACTTGTCCATAAAGTCGATATGAGATTTCGAGTTATCTATTTTTGTTTTGACATTATGTCATAATGTGTCAATGTTGGTTTATGAAAGTGTTTTCGCGAAATGGACTTCTCCAATCTCCGCCACAGTTATTATTATATTTTTGACAAATCAATATTTGTATTGGTCAATTATTGTTATTTCTCATACCGCAAAAATAGAATACCTATTATCTGTATTTCTGGACCCGATTCGAAAAAGGGCTAATGACGGCTAATGGCTACAACGAGTTGTGGACAATTCATCATACACATTGTCGTTCATCTTATCCACCCACACAGCAATTAATATATATATTTTAAAGTATTTACCAATATTGTCAAAACGGTTCTAAATCATATTTCGGGAGGAATAAAACATTTAACAAAATTCTACATGAATTATTTCAACCCCTTTGAATATTTTACTTAAAACATTTTGCACAGCTTTTGAAAATTAAGTAGTTTTGCTCGTTTAATAGCAGACCTAAAAGCACACGGCCTTATGGGAATTGAAAACTTTGATGCTCGTTTACCAAAAATTATTAAGTATCTGAAATTAGTCCTTTGAGACCCAATAGCCTAAAGGGTTTCATAACTGCCTAGTATCATGACTGCAGGGTCATATTTCTTATTAGTTAAGATAGACAGAGAGCGGTGTAAGTCAGCAAAGTTTAAGTAAAAATACCATTTAGTGGATAACAAGCAAAAAACTACTTTCGCAAGCATGTTTTCTGGAGTGGCTTTGTGCTTAAAAATATAAAACGGTATTATTACTCGTTGAAGTGGTTTCTGTAGCAATAAAATTGTAAATAGGGAAAAAATGTCTGGATTTATTTGATTTATGGCAAGGGCCAAGGGGGCTGCCAAAGATGTTTTGCCTTATGGTTCAAAATGACTTAATTGGACACCGAGACGACATCTATTGGAGCAATATCCAGTCTACCGTTATACGTTATGTGAAGAATACAATTTGAACTTGTAAAAAGTAGCATTTCATTTGTTAGATCGTTACAGATTTGTTAGCTAAAATATTATCATTAAAAATCTTTGAAATATCTACTGAAAATTCTATTTTTTTTTTTTAACATTTTCTTAATGTAAAAATTAAGAATGTGTTGTTTGTTCGCCGAAAACAATTTGTACATTTGTTTTTTTTAATATTATGACAAAAAATCTAATATTTATTTAAGCTGTTGGCCAAACTTAAGATAAGTGACAAAAAAAATAAGTTTTGGAAAACATATACTTTTTCATTTGTTTTAACTAATTGGAGCGGTTTTACTTTTTAGAACCGTTTCAATTTCAAATTTTATAACATACGCCAAGAAGTATTCGTCGAGTAGCATAATATTATAAAATTTGAATACAATTTTTTTTTTTAAATACTTACCCTAATAAACCGCAGCGGTATTCAGAGCTGAATTTATTTTTTTTTACCATAAAAAATTAACCTTCCCGAAAAACCATACCGTATTGACTGTGCCCCCCGTCTAACACGTCTAAGACTCAACTGAAATAATGGTATATATATATATATATATATATACCATTATTTCAATAATTAACAATCTATCGACATAAATAAAACAAATTAATGCCGTATATTGAAAAAAACTATTTACCCTTCTTCCTTGTGCCCTTTATATATATATATATATATTTTTTTTTTTAACATATTTAAATTTCCCGTCCACACCGTTATGACCTTACATTGTTGTTGTTGAGAATCCCACGTCTTATCCGCGCCCAATACTTTTGTATTACTTTAGATTTCCCTAATCGGTTGTCAATCAGCGGTGACAATAGCGAGTAATACAACTCACAGAGCTTTCAGGGTCCTGCGTCGTTGGAGTCTGCGTCTTCGGTCACCGCCTGAGCGCGCTTTCAAATAGTATACATACCAGCGTGCACCAAGTATCCCAACCAATCTTCCACCGAATCAAGACACGGTCAGACGGTCGTCCCAGTTAGCTCTCTCGACACTTGAGAAATATTTCGTCAGTTTTTTTTTTTTTTCACAAGTTTTCAAAAATATTTTTACTTTTTTTCCAACTAAAAAAAAAAAATACTTTCGACTCTACCGCACGATGATAATAATTCCAACAGCTGCGCTAACGAAGAAATCAACAATCTTCAGTATATATTTTACAAAAAAAAAAACCAAAATAGGTAAATCCCGGTTTAAAATAATAATTATTTGATAATAATTTTTTCCCCCTCATAAAAAATACTTCCGAATATTATTATTATTATTTTTTTTTTTTTATCTTTTCAAGTTTTAATGATAATTTTTTTTTTTTAGCTTTGAACCGAATTCCAATGGAAAATCATATTGTTATCAACTGCTTGCGATCCGGTTAAATTCAGCCACAGAGATAATTGCTGTTACCGAGCCGTCATCGCCATCGTCATCACCACCAACGGTTATGCGGTAAATATTTGTTTTGAATTTTTTTGAAAGTTTAAATCCTCCGAAAAAAATATTTCTATTCTTAAAATACAATTTCATTAATTTTTTTCTTCATTTTTTACGCAAAAAATACTATGAAAACTATACATTTCTCATCGTAGGGTACTGATTTTTTGAGTAGTTACCAAAAAAACCAGCCAAATATAAACATTATACTAAAAAAAATATATTTAACGCGTTAGTATAATCAATAAATATATTATTATACTTTTAATTAAACGCGAATATATGTAACTAAAAAAAACATTAAAAAAAACTATTAGGGCTGGTTTTTTCTTTATAACTCGAAAAGTCAGTACATTATATTAAAAAAGTTGCTTGTTTTAACTTACAAATTAAACGGAGGTAAAATGCGAATTTTTTTCTTATTATCATTCTGTTTATACTATTTGTAGCGATAACTAAAAAAATTTAAGTAACGTAAATTTAAATTTCTAAGTTAAACAAACATAAATATACTTCATAAATTATAAAAAAAAATTCGCATTTTAGACTGATTAAAATAATGTAACAAATAAAAAAAAAATATTAAGTAGACAATGTAGTTAGAGAAGTCATCGCGCGGTGTTTAAGCCTTGACAGACGTTTCCGTCGATATTGATCTATTGTTCTAGAGAGAAGATATTTAGGAGTTCACATATAATCTTAATAGGTTATTATAAGCTATAATTATTATTATACATTTTGCTACTTGTGAGCATAAATTCGACTCGAGTAAAAAAATACAGACATATTTTTCTTATTTTAATGATTATTATTCTTTTATTCGCAATTTAAATTTTCATAATCCATTATACATTAAAATATAAGCGCAAAGGGTTTGATATAAATTTCCACGCGAAGCAGAGAAGGTATACTCGTATCAATTTTTTTTTAAGTATTTGAAGTACGAAATGACATTAAAACGATTATTTTGGAGATTTCACTACTAACAGAATTGGCACTAATTATTATTAAATATGGAACTATGACAACCTAAAAATCCGCTCTCTAGACAATACCACATATCTAAACCCGAAACACTTTGAATATGCCCTCACCTCCCACTACACCCCCTACTCCCCTACATCCTATCCCATATATACCTTCCCTTGCTAACCCTCCCACCCATCTACACCCCCTCTCCCATACTTCTCCCCTCCCTCCCACTACACCCCCTACTCCCCTACATCCTATCCCATACATCTCTTCCTCTGCTACCCCTCCCCACCTTCCATCCATCTACAATCCCTCTACCATACTCCTCCCCTCTCTTTCCTACATCGACCACCTCTCCTATACCCCTCACTCTCCTACATCCCCACCTACCCTACACCCCTGACTCCCGCCTCCCACCCACCTCCACCCCCTCCACCATGCTCCTCCTCTCGCTTCTACTACACCCCCTACTCCCCTACGTTCTATCCCATATATACCTTCGCCTGCTACCTCTCATACCCATCTACACCCCCTACACCATACTCCTTCCTCTCCTACATCCCTCACCTACCTTACACCCCTCACCTATCCTACACCCCTCACTCCCCCCTCCCACCCACCTACACCCCCTCCACAATACTCCTCCTCTTCCTCCCACTACATTCCCTACTCCCCTACGTCCCATCCCATCTATACATTCCCCTGCTACCCCTCCCACCCATCTACACCCCCTCTACTATACTCCTTCTCTCCCTCCCACTACATTCCCTACTCCCCTACGTCCTATCCCATCTATACCTTCCCTTGCTACCCCTCCCACCCATCTACACCCCCTACACCATACTCCTTCTTCACCTACCACCCCTTACATCATCATCCTACCCACCTTCTCTCTCCTGTCCACTCTTTGCTCCCCTCTCTTAATTTTAATATGTCTCTACTATGTTGCATTTCAACCCTATGATTCTATTATTTTTATACATATAATATACATTAATAACCAGAACAGGCCTAGTGGTTATATCTTTCCACTCGTTTCTCCTCTACCCTTAACCTGTTCACATCATTACTCCTTCATTCGCCATACCACCTATGACACCTGATCTAACCTTATAATTTTACTTTCCCTTGTCGTCTGATATACAGCATAATAACCAAATGCATTTTTAATTATTAATTTATTAGTATTATATAACTTATTTTGATATAAATAAAACCATTTGCTTCTTTTAAAATTATTATAAAACACAATTTTATTTAATAGTACTTTTTTTGTATTTCTAAAAGTAATCGAAGGAATTAATTAACTTTTTGAAATAGTAATTAAATGTATTTATAGAAAAATAAACTTAAGAATTAATTATATTTACAAATATATTATAAAACACAAATTCGTAATTTAAATATTTTTAATAACTCTGATAATTTAACCGATTTTAAAATTATAAAAAAAAATGTTCAATAAAAAACTTTCAAAATGTATACCGTTACGATATAACCGTGTTTCATTCCAGGAACAATATTTTATATTTAAATAAAAGTCATAGTAATTAACTTTGAAATATTTCAATTATTTTTATTACAATGTCCTACACAGTTAATCTAAAGAACATCGTGGGATCATTTTAATTATTATTTTGTTTTAGTTAAAAAACAGTGTAAAATTAAGTTTGGTAATCTCTATTATAAATATAATAATATAGGTGACATATGTACCTACTACAAAAAACAATAAATCTATAGAATTTTTATTTAAATCATTTCGAAAACAATATCGTTTCTTTAAAGTTAAATTAAGGCACTTTTTGATCACTCAATAATAGACACTTTATGAATAAAAGATCTGTATTTCAAACGGATGAGTTGGGTCTATGTTCTTCAAACCGATTTTCCTTTGCTGACTCTTTGGGACTTGGGTGTAAAGTTTGAGTTACAGTAAACAATTTTTTTTATTTATTGGGAAGGCCTTCAGATAAAGTTTATGTAATGATCAGATTATATCGAATTGATGATATCTCGTCCTTAATTTTCAGGAAACTCGACTATTGTTTAATATTATTTCGAAAATAATGTCGTCCTTATCAATTTTGCAATAAGTAACGACTTTCAAAAAACTTACCAGACCACCTGACTGAATTATAATATGATATTTAAATTTCTTCAAAATATTTTTAACTATTTCCATAATATAATATAATTTGTAATTACTGTATTATCGTTTTTCTAATATTTTATATCTCTAACTCATATTATTATCAATTAGGTAACATAAATCATAAATTACAATTCATTGCACAACTGTTAACAATCAACCATTATAACGACATAATAATTAAATGTATACGAAATAATTTTTTGCATAGTTTTTTCATTATCTTCGTCTTACACTCCCAACTACATGGGGTCGGCCACCCTAGTCCTATACCTCCATAGAGCTCCATAAAGGTCTTCTACATCTCGTTCAAACCCCTCAGCTATCCTCGTATCATTATCTATTCCGTCCATCCATCTCCATCGTCCAAGAAGAAGACCAAAGATAAGATATCTTTGGTCTTCTTCTTCCTCTTTTTCCCTCTTCAATCATCTTCATAGCACCTCTCACTGCCTCTACCTCATCTCTTCTCATAACATTACCTAACCATCTCGGCATATTCTCTGTCATTTTCTCCACAATTGATGTAACTACTAGACTACCCCTTATGTATTAATTTCTTATTCTATCTTCCCTAGTCATTCCATTCATCTACCCATATAACATTGCTGGCCTCACCACCGACCTATAAAGTTTACCTTTCAATATAAGATTGAGATGCCAAATGTGGCCGTTACACTATAAAGGCATCCTTCTGTCACACAAAGCACTCGACACTCCCCTCCACTTCATTCATCCACGATTTATTCTATTTTTCACATCATCCTCGTACCCACCATTTGTTTGTACTGCTGGTCCTAAGTACTTAAACCTATTAAGTTCACACACTTCATCATCACCCATCTGCATTACCTTTCTTACCTTATATAACCTTCTCCAAAGTCAAATCCTCAGTTCTTTACCTTCAAGCGCTTCTCTTCACTCTTCAAGTCTCTCACTAGATTCTTCCAGACTTTCCCCCACCAGCACTACGTCATCCGCAAAAATCATACACCATGGCACCTCCCCCTGTACATCTTTCGTAATCTCGTCCATTACTAAAGATAAGAAGTAAGGACTCAACGCTTAACCTTGATGCACACCTATTCTAAATTACACTAAATTCTTCCGTTTCTCCGCACACACTCCTCACTCTTGTACTTGATCCTTCATGCATTTCCTCTATTACTTTCACATACGCCCTCAGCACTCCTTTCTTCCTTAACGTCCACCTCAAAATCTCTCTTGGAACTCTATCATATATGCCTTTTCTAAATCTATAAATACTATACACAGTTTTCTTTTTTTTCTCCCTTTACTTTTCCACAATTTGCCTATTGCAAAATATTGGTTCTACAGTTGATTTCCCTAGCATAAACCCAAATTGATTCTTCGATATTGTAGTCTCTATTCTATCACCTTTTCCCAAATCTTCATACTATGACTAATCAGTTTTATACCTCTATAATTTCCACACTCCTCCACATCTCCCTTGCCCTTGAATATCGGTACCAGAATAATTTTCCTCCACCATTCCGGCATTTTCCCATCTACTAACACCTTATCAAGGAAACCTTTCTACAACCCTCTGCCAAAGAGACCTAACACCTGCCATCCCTCCACTGGTACCCCACCCGGTCCTACCGCTTTCTTCTTTTTCATCTTTCGAACCGCATTTCACACTTCCTCCTCCCTGATTAAGTCCACCATACCTAAATTCCACGCTACCTGCTCTTATTCAATAGTCCTTCAAAGTACACTTTCAATCTCTTTTTCACATCCTCGTGACACTTCTTTATCTTCGCCTTTCATACACCAAACATTTTGGAAATCCCAGAAAATTATAATTTAACAAAACATTAAGCCAAGTTACAACTTGATTTGCATAAGCCCGATAAGAAATTAAAAAACC